ATTTTGTTGGGAGAGTTGTCGTGGATATTTGTATGACAGGTGGGCCCGGATTGGATTGAGCCGTTGGTACTGGTTCGGTGGCAGGGCCGGCGATTGCATCAGCAGGTCAGCACCAGCCGATGCCACCAGATCGATTTGAATCTTGGGATCCGGCGATCAGTATCGTCCACAACTTTTTTTTTTGTAGCCGATGCATAGAATCGTAATCCTGGGCGTGCAATCTTGCCGTCTGGGAGTACATGCTAGATCAGGTGCGTTATCCCAGCCATTGACTAGAGTAAGGCCTGGTTTAGTTCTTTAACTTTTTCTTCAAATTTTTAATCTATTATATTATTAAAGGAATAGAAAAAAGAGGCATCACGTTCACTTTCATGGGCTAGAAATTCCCATGTTAATCGGAGAAAAAAGAAAAAGCAGAGTCCATATAGAAATACAATTTAGAAATAGCTGAAATTCGGAATTAAAAACTAAGGAATATTAGAAGAGGAGACTAGAGTCCATATAGAAAGAAAAAGCAGAGTCCATATAGAAATACAATTTAGAAATAGCTGAAATTCGGAATTAAAAAATAAGGAATATTCGAAGAGGAGACTAGAGTCCATATAGAAATACAATTTAGAAATAGTTGAAATTCGGAATTAAAAAATAAGGAATATTAGAAAATGAGACTAGAGTCCATATAGAAATACAATTAGGAAATAATTGAAATTCGGAATTAAAAATAAGGAATATTAGAAGTAGAGTATAGAGTCCGTATTGAAATATAATTAGGAAATAACCAAAATTCGGAATTACAAATAAGGAAGATTAGAAGTAGAGTATAGAGTCTATATATAAATACAATTAGGAAATAATAGAATTTTAAAATTAAAAATAAGGAATATTAGAAGTAGAGTATAGAGTCCATATAGAAATACAATTAAGAAAAAAATAGAAATTCGGAATTAAAAAATAAGGAATATTAGAAGTAGAGTATAGAGTCCATATAGGAATTTAAAATAACTAAAATTTGAAATAAACATAATAAAATTAAAAGTAGAGTTTAGAGTCCGTATAAAAATACAATTTACAAATAACTAAAATTTAAAATTAAGAAAAACATTGGAATAAGAGTTTAAAGTCAATATAGGAATACAATTTAGAAGTAACTGAAATTCGAAATTAAAAATTAAATAGTATTGAAAGATGAGTTTAGAGTCCACATAGAAATACAATTAGAAATAATAAAAATTCAGAAATAAAAATAAATAATATGGGAAGAAGAGCATAGAGTCTATATAGAAATATAATTTACAGAAAATTCGAAATTAAAAAAAGAAATATTAAAAGATGAGTCTAGAGTCCATATAGGAATATATATAATTTACAAATAACTAAAATTTGATATTAAAAATAATTAATAACTAACACGTATATAAAATATAATATGAATATTACACATTAGTAGTTTTGTAAAGTTATTGCAAAATTTAAAATTATGTTGTTATTTTAATATATTTGAATAATATAATGAGAAAACATATATGATATTATATGAAAGAAAATATAATGATGCTAGGCGCGCAGAGGCACGCAATCTGCACGGGCCACCATGCTAGTTTTTTTTATTTCATCAAACTTCCTACGAACACAAACTTCCAACTTTTTCATCACATCGTTCCAATTTCAATCAAACTTTTATTTTTGGCGTGAACTAAACACACCCTAGGCAGGACGAACTTGTATGTGCACCACTCAGTGCAACTTTGCAAGCTTACCCCTGAACAAATTTGCATAAGCACCACTCATAGCCATGGTTTACAAAAAGGCGGTAACCACACAGTAATTGCGCTTACCGTCAGATACGGTAAATGTAAAACCGCGGTAACCCTATTAGACTCAAATAAAATTTAAAAATAATTTATTTTTGACAAATTTTATACCGTTTGCCATTGTTAGTTGTGCATAGGCCCATTAGAGCCAACTGTGGCTTGTAGACAACATTAGTGCCTTGCAGCCCTGAAGCCACATGGTGGTGTAGACATGGCCAAAAGCAACGTTGTGTCAAGACGGCGTACCTCCCAAGCGACCAGTGTGGTCCCCTCTGCCTCGCTTGATTTCTTGGTAGAAGGCGGCCGCAAAGGGGAAGGGCAATTGGAGAGGAGATAGGGAAAAATGATGGTCGAAGAACATAGAGATAGCAGTTGTATTGGGGAACTCATTGTTTTGATGTTGATCTACACCATGTTGGCATTTATTGGCCTGCAACTATGGCATGTTCTAGGTGAACGACAAGACTGGACAGTGGAGATGAAGCCCACAATGAGCAGGAAGACACTATGCATAAGGATTTGGCGTCGAGCTTGGGGATTCACCGGTATTGGCCTTGAAAGAGACGAGCCGACGTCTCACCTAGGCTCACCTCATTGCCAGACATCACCTCGCCTCCTCGACTGCCAGTCAGCCACCCCCATCTTATCCATATGTAGCCTACGACGACGAGGAGGGGGGGTCATGGCGCCGCTTAAGAGAGGAGAAGCGACGGCGACCCGATGAAGATGAACTCCACACTTTTAAGATTTGAGTGAAAGGGGAGCAGCTTGGTGGCCGGAGCAAGAAGCGGGAGATGTTGCGGTGGCCGGAGTGGGAGAAGGATGGTGGAGCGGTCATCGATGATGGTGAAGGGAGGAACGGCTGTGACTATTGGTTTAATATGTGAGTGTATTTTGTTATCTAGGAGTTTGTGTTGTAAAATTATATAAGAACTTGAATGTAAAATGGAGGAGCCAAAATTAAAATGGGCAATAAAAATAATGAATGTGTTATACTTGAAGCTACTGTACATGGGAAAGGTAGTACCGCTAACATTAATCTTAGTCTCATCCTATATGGCATATTTTCTATCCCTAAGATATGGATTTTTTATATATATTTTAGAATTTTAAGAACTTATTTTATAAATAGGCACCCTAAAAAATTTCTTTCGAGAATAGACTCTTTTTCGACATCAATGACATTAGTGACGTCCCACTAGCCTCCCCGTGAAAACTAAGTCACTTGTATGAAGGGGGTCGGTGCTAATGCCATTGACGCCAAGGATCTATTTATAAAAAAGTAAAAATGATCTATTTGTAATAATAAAAAATATTAACTAAATATAGCCTCAATGTCAATGACACTAGCTCTAAGGAACTATTTGTAAATAGTTTTTTTAATTACAGATAAATCATTTTTTAAAAAATATAAATAGGTTATCAGTGCTAATGTCATTGGCCCCTCGCTCTTAACATAAGTGACCTAGCTTTCACGACGAGGCTAGAGAGATGACGCTAGCGTTAGTATGTTGAATCACGACATCAATGATAATGACGTTGAAAAAGTTCCATTCTCGAAATAAGTTTTATCACTGATCTACTTATAAAATATTTTTTTTGAAAGAAAAAGACAAAAGGGAAAATTCAGTCCCCGAGACCACTTCTAGTTGTGGTTTTGCGTTGTTCATGGCTGAAAAGCCCAATCAAACGTGCAAGGACTATAGCCGTCAAGACTTTTGCAACTTCACATGGAGTTCCGAAGATCGTCCGGCCCATCTTCCACGCACCACGTTCTTTACAGGGATCAGCTCGGTTCGGTCAAGGAATAATAACCTCTCACGTTCTTGCTCTCGACTTCCGAGAGACGATCTGCCCAAAAATTACTCCCTCCGTCTTATTATAAGGATTTTTAGTTTTTCTTATATTGTTTGATCACTTGTCTTATTTAAAAAATTTATGTAAATATAAAAAACAAAACGTTATGTCTAAAATACTTTGAATAATAAAGTAAGTAAAAAATAAATAATAATTTTAAATTTTTTTGAATTAGACGAGTGGTTAAACAGTGAAAAAAAAACTACGAGCCAACAGCAGCTCGGTGAAACGTGGATTACTCTATACATCACTCATTACTGTTCCCACTTCAAAATAAACCAAATACAAAGGTGGTGTTTGGTTGGAGGGACTAAAGTGGGGCTAAACTTTAGTCCCTCTCACAAAAGTATAAGTTCCTATAAGTTCCTATGGTAGGAACTTATACTTTTGTGAGAGGGACTAAATTTAGTCCCTAATTCCCAAACACTCCCAAAATATAACATATTTTAATAATATATATAAAAAATTTTAAAGCTGATTTATAGTACCAGTAATAACAGGTACAGAAATGATTCGATCGCCAGACTCGGTTTGTGTTAGCAGCCTTTTTCCATTCCAGCCTTGCAGCAGAGGATTCTGAATCCTCGCCGCTTGACGGCGTCAGGGCAGGTCGCTGGTTTCCGCTAGACCCAGCCACGGCGTGGCGGTCGGTCGGCACGACGCAAACAAGGACAGGCAGATCGGTCGTACTAGTGCATAAACTGTGATGTCTAGATCAGTCGAGCCGAACTGATTGGTTAAGGCCCTGTTTAGTTCTAAACTTTTTCTTCAAACTTCTATCTTTTTCATGTATCAAAATTTTTCTACACACATAAAATTTTAACTTTTCTGTTATATTGTTCTAATTTTAACCAAACCTTTAATTTTGGCGTGAAATCAAACTAGAAAGGCAGCAATGGTTGACGTGAACATACTCATTTGTGACACGAATTCACTATAATCATCCATAAACAAATTTTCTGTTTAGTTCAAACCAAACTTCCCCCGAACTCTCAATTTTCCATCACATCACATCACATCGAAAATTTTTCTACTCACATAAACTCCCAACTTTTTTTCTAAACTACCAATTTTCTCCAAACTTCTCTTCGATTTTAGAAACTAAACATAGCCTTGGTACGGGTTTTCATTAATATCGTCAAATGCTGTCATCATTAGATTCAAGATCCAGGTGTACGTACATCTAATTATGTAACCCAACGAACAAATTAGGTAAAGAGTAATACCACAATTGAATCAAGCAAGTGTACCATGCGGATACACAGCAGTACAGCTTACATTGAGCCAAAGCAACTGCATGTTCTTCTGCGCGTCCAAGAAGAAGCCTCCTCCTGAATCTGAAATTTCTGCTCTGCTCGTTTATTCTCAATGCACAAAATGTACAGATATCAATTCGCAACCAATGAACCAAACCAATATCAATGCTCAAGGAAGAAAAATAAATTTAAAAATGTATTGATCTGTACTGTACGTATACGAAGCTACTCCTCAATATCTCTGTATTTTTAGCTGGTGTATGAATTTGAATCGGTGAAACAAAACGCAAAAAATGGATCTTATTGGGTAGGAATAATCATCTAGCGGAGGCTCCTCTCCATCATCTCGTTGTACTGCAGCCATGAGATTTGCCTCTGTAGCTTCATCTGCGCGTGGAATTTGGCGATGAACTCCTCCGCCTTGGCGTCCACGCCGGCGTCCTCCGTCACGGCGGCGGCGCTCGCCTCCAGCATGGACAGCTCGAGGAGCTGCTCCTCCATCGCGCCGTCGCGGAAGCTCTCGTCGTCCACGCCGCCGCACTCGCCCGGCTCGCCATTGTAGTCGTAATACCCGACGCCGCCGCCGCACTCGGGCTCCGTGTCGCGGCGGGCGAAGAAGTAGCGGTCCTCGTCGCCGTAGAGCCCGGGCGTGTCCGGGACGGCGGGGGCGATGCAGGGGATTAGGCGGAGCACCCGCGCCGACGGCGTGCGGAACCGGAACGCCGGCGTCTCCTCGATCGAGTACTCCCGCTCGCCGTACCCCAGGCGGTCGCCTCGGCCGACGACGCCGAGGCCCACGCCGGCGCGCCGCAGGTTGCTGAGCAGGCGGAGGCTGTGCACCGCGCTGCCCTTCCTCGCCCAGAGCACCGCCAGGCGCAGCAGCCGCCACGCCCGCCTCCCGATCGACGCCTTCTGCTGCTTCTGTTTCTGCTTCGGATTCGCCGCCGCTGCCGCCACCAACGCCATTGCCGCAACCGCAAACACCAGAATTCAGAGGAAGAAAACGACCGCGAAATGCAGCACCCGATCCGCTCTTGCTTTCGCCTAGTAGTTGGTTGATTGATTTCTTCGGAATCGGCGCGTGTGATGTGTGCTGATGTGATGAGATGAGATGATACGAGACGACAAGATGAGGTATTAATAGGTATAGGGGGGGATCTCGCTTTGCGTTGAGGCGAGGCGGGAAGGAAGCGAGCGCGTTAGTTGCTGACATGGCAGTTGGCATCAGCTGGAGGCTGAAGGCCAGGAGAAGATGATTGGGGGGTGGGGCCCGCGGGCCAGGGGAGAGGTTCACCGTTCACACTTTCGGCACGGCCGCGGAATGCGGCGGGTCATGCGAACACGCGTCGCGTCGCTTCGTGCCACTGAAACTGAACGGTGGGGCCCTTGTCGCCCCGACGTGCCGCTCTGTTCACTTCACCCGTTTCGTGCCTTGGATGCACAAACCGAATTCCCTGACACGGTTTGCCCGTCCGGGTAATTATCAGGAATCTAGTAATCGAATTATCAGGAGGATAGTATTCCGAAATTTCACTCTGACAAGTGCCAGAACTTGACGAGTTTTCCTTGATCATTCTCGGTTACTTCCAGAATCCAGCGGCCCCACCAAACGCTATATTTGTAAAATGATGTAAGTCATTCTAACATTTCTCACATCCATATTGATGCTGTGAAATGGAGAAAGTAGTAATTTGTAAATAGAACTTTTATATATGTATTCTTAGCGATCTAAAAGCAAAGGCTGAAAAAATAAACTTCAATAAAAAAACTTTAAAAACATCTTTAAATTTAAGGTTGAAAATTTAAATTTTGGTTGATAAGTACTCCCTCCATACTCGTAAAGGAAGTCGTTTAGGACAGCGACACAGTCTCCAAAACACAACTTTGATTTCTTATTTCTATAAAAGTATTTATTGAAAAGTGATATATGTATACTTTTATGAGAGTATTTTTCAAGACAAATCTATACATATAATTTTTATATTTTCAAACTCAACAACTTAAGAGTTATTCATGATTTATATTCTTAAGATTTGACTTAAACATTGTTCTAAACGACTCTCTAAGTACGGAGGGAGTATAAGCATAGACGAAAAGATAAGAGTTCCGGCTCATGTTTGCCTCGATCTCGTCACTTGCATTTACTGCAATCGGGAAACAGATGCCGCTGCCCGGCTAGCCCTACAACGTTGCTGCGTCAGTAACAATTTCGTAATGATACCCCAAAGTATCCAATGTCCAAGGGTAACAGCGCACCATGCTCGGTAGCTGGCTGCTGCTCGTCAGTGGGGAACATGGCTTCCTCGATTGATTAAGATGTGAACCGCGTAGCGCTCTGCCATGAGCTGCAAGTCTGCAACCACCATAACAGCGTAATTTCCGCGGCTGCGCCCGTTTCAGAATGGCACTAGTTTACTCCGAGTCAAGCCTCACTGGGATACAGCTTATCATATGCAAGGCAGCAAGGCCAGGTGACCAGGCACAGGTAAAATCGTATACGGACACCCAGCAACCAATGCAGATGACCTGGCCTGTACTGCTGTACAAAGCGACCGAACAGGCTTAAATCAGAGCATGGCTACACACGTGAAATTTTTTCAGGTCTTACCACGGATTGAAATGTACGGAGTACTAAAAACGAACTGGCTCAAACACTGTTAACGTTGTAGCCTAACAGGAAGCTTCCCAGAAATTCAAGCAACCTGAAAACACCAAAGGAATTCCATGCCACTGATCCATGGGGTCACATGGTATGTATCTCCGGAGCAAGCTGACAGCCAGAAACAGTGGTCACAAGCTGGAAAATCAATTTTCAGTCAAGGCAAGCAGCTGCATGCGGCCACCACCAAACTGCCTATCACAATTGTTGTCACGTAGTGGCAGCCTCGAAAAATCCAGGTCGCTTTCGTGCCAAGGCTCCATTGGAAAGGAGCAGTTCACCTGAAATTTGGTGCCATGTAGAATGGGAGATCTGCAAGTAGTAGAACAATATGATATTTTTGGAGAACAAGCTTAACTGTAACGCTCACTGCTGGCAACCATCATCAGGAGGAGAGAATATCATTTTTTGTCAGTAGCTAATGAAATGCGTGATGCCATTAGCCCGACAGGCATTAGCTGCTTAGCATGAAATGGTGGAGTAGCGGCCACGAAATACCACGAGATTTGCCCACAGTTGCAAGCGAGCCTGGAGCCTGGACCCTGGACAGCACAACATGGACGAGGTGCAGCTTCCTGCCCTGAAAAGAAAAGGAGCAGCTATACGAAACATAATTCAGACCGAAAGGCATTAGAAAAGTGAAGACCCAGTCTGTATGGCCCCAATTAACGGCCTGGAAGATTGCTTTAAATTCCAATTTTATTTCAAAAGAATACTTCAACGTATCTTATAATAAATTTTAAAAACAGGAAGGGTACTAATTTATCCTAAGATTTCCCTTCCTGCTTATGAAAAAAGGACACCTAGTTTGCTTATCAAAATGAAAAGAATGAGCTGGAACCTGGATATAGAAACATGGTAATTTTTAGCACAGTTTCTGGAAATATCACTAAAAATCACTTTTGACTAAATAAATTTAAAAAATGCTCTTCTAGGCTATCTAGTAACCAGGCAAAGAGAACAAACCTCTCCAAGAAGGCTGAAATTCTACTCATTTTGCAAAAGAAAGAAAGAGATTAAATTCTCGAAAGCGTACCAGCCGAGCCGCCAACAACAATAGATTACTTACTTGCACAAATTTAATCTACAAGAGTATAATTGCAATATTCTACAAGAGTACAAGACAACAAATTATGAGACACATAAATGTATACGCCCTGCCACAAAGGCCACAATTTACTCAACAGGCAAAAAAGGTCTGCTCTGATCACTGGTAGACAATGAGTAAAGTGAAATGCACCCAGCCACATAGTCACCATTCAGCAACATGCAAATAAATCTGCCCTGAATAGACGCAGATATGAGAAAAGTGAGATGTTTATAAGAAGTTATGCAAAGGTGTTCAATCCCCAATTACACAGCTTTCAGATTTTATTGTTTGCATTTTCTAGATAAGTAAAAGGAAAAAGTACGAATTACCCCCTCGAACTATTGCGGCTGTCCTCGCCGCCGCTTCCGGTGCGTGTGCGCCGCCGCCGCCGCCTGCTGCCGTGCGCGTGAGAGAGAGAGAGAGAGAGAGAGAGAGGGGAAGAGTGAGAGTGAGAGTGAGAGAGAGAGAGAGAAGAGAGAGAGGAACAATGGAAGAGGATATGACAGGTGGGTCCCATGTTTTTTAATAAATAGAATGTTGACTGGACTGCCACGTGTACGCCACGTAGACCAAAACCACCGCAGATTAGGTCGAGGGGGGTAATTCGTCCGGTTTACATAGTTGGAGGTGAAGAATGTCTGGTTTTGTGGTTCAGGGGGTAATTTGGACGACCACAATAGTGGGGGGGGGGGGTAATTCGTACTTTTTCCTAAGTAAACTAGAGAGCAAATATTTTGCAGGGAATGGATAACATCATTTACCACAATACAACAAAGTAACATTCATCATTAATGTTTTTTTTTCATTCATTCAAATTGATTCATCCTGTCACTTGCTAGGTCATAAATATAAAAGGTTCTGCAGTTCTTTGTTGGTCATATACTGATATACAGCGGTACAGTATTAATATTAACATGTACAAGATGCAATTTTATAGGTGGAAGGGGATACTTGGAACAGATCCTTACATTTGAGTTATGGCAATTCTAAGCTAACACGAGCCTATATCAAAATTTAGCTTTCAATATATAAAATCCAAAATGCACGTGCAACTCTGAGTGCAAAACAAAGAACAATACCTAATCAGCACTTAGTGATTTAAGTTATGTAAGCATGTCATGAATTTATTAAGATAAAACTTTCTGTGAGTGACTGTACAATGGGTCTCACCATATAAACAAACACTGGTATAACTCGTTCTGAATCATACTGCATTTTTAGGTTAGGGTCTATCAGTTGCTCCTCAAAGGGAGAGATGCTTTGATGAAGTTAGGAATTACAGGGAAAAAATATACACAACCTGCTAGATGTTACATGATTGCTTTTGTACTAGTCTACACGAACACAATTAATCATCTTTGGTTGGTAAATACAAATATATAATCTTTCTGAAAATAAACAGTAAGAGAAAATTTGTGATAACCTCAGATTATTCAGCCTTTCAAATGTAACAATTCATTTGCTCGATCAGACTCCCAAAAGGACACTACAGATATGAAACTGGCTCACAGTTTCACTTAGCAGATTGTGACCATCAGCATTTGCAGAAAATATTAGTACATAGTACTTGAAGACAACATTTCTAAGTTCCAGAAAAGTTTTCCTGCAGTTCTCTACAAGGAAACATGCAAACTAGATACTAGTGATATAATTTCAGATGCCATTAGCCCTTGAATTGCCACTCCCTACGGCACATTGGGCAAAGTGGTGTGGATGTTTGAGAATTGACCCACTTGAGTATGCAGTGGAGATGGAAAGCGTGGTTGCAGGAGCCCCAGATGAGCGGGCAATCGTCGCCGGGGAACTTACAATCAGGGCAGCAGCCGTCGAATGCCATCCTGCATATACCACAGGTTTCATCCTGGGCGTCCCATGTCCAAGAAGCCACCGAATGCCACTGAAGAATCTTGACCTTCATCTTGGTACCTGGTACACAATAAGGGAGGTGGATTCGTGAGCAGCTATTTAGATATCAGGCGCGAGGGTTCAGTTGCGCTTCTGAAAATTTTGCAAAGCAAGCTGCCATTCGAGTAATAAAATCAAATCAAATATGCGACTATATGTGTGGATTGGAGTGGCCACAGACAAGCAAAAAATAACACAAGGATTTGATTGCTGGTAGCAAGCGACAAATCATTGGAAAAAGCAATCTAGCTATGTTAGGGCTTCCGTCTCAACAGAAGAAATCGGCCTAGACGGGATACGCCTCAGTCCATTGGAGGGGAGGGGAGAAGAGCCCCTTCGCCTTCGAGGTGACGCGGCGTCGGTGGGAGTAGCACGGCCGCACGCGGCGCTCCTTCGACAGCTCCGGGGGGAAGACGGATTCGGTAGCGCCGGACTCCCGAGGGTCGGGGCCAAGAGAGAGTGGGACAAGAGGAACGGGGGAGCCACAGCCGAGGGGATGGTGCCTGGTGTTTACCTGCGGAGCGGAGAGGAAGCCTTGAGCTCCGCCGCCGCCGCCTGCTCGCCGGCGAATCGGGGAGTGAGAGTGGAGAGAGCTGGAGCAGTGGTGGATCCTGCCGGCTCCGTCTCCTCCTCCGGCTCCGCTCGCGTGTGCGGCTAGTGATTTCGCCGTTACACCGATACGTGGGCCGGAATGCCCGAGATGCCACCGTGGCCCAATGCCCGCGCGCGGGCCGAGATGACGGCCTCGTTGGTGGATGCCGCGATGCGGCCGCAAGTTTGGATGGACCGGGCCTCTAACCCTTACATGGGCTCTTTCGGCCCAAATATCACTGATGTTAGTTACGCCTGTGTGTTGTTTCATGAATTTTTTTTATTTATAATTTTTTTTATTAAAAGTTTTACAAAAATAATTTTCCATTTTGAAAATTGACGGAAGGAGTCGCCTACCGCCCTCTGGGAGGGCGATTTTTAAAAATCGCCCTCTCAGAGGGCGGCGAAAATGACGTGGCAGACGGCCGTTCGCTCTCGGGCGACGGCCGTCAACGAAATTTGCAGGCGGCCCCCTTGCCGCCCTCCGCTAGGGCGATTTTATACTGTGCGGGGGGCCGCTTGCAAATTGGCGGCGAGGGGGGCATGGAATTTTGCAGGCGGCCCCCTTGCCGCCCTCCGTTAGGGCGATTTTGTACTGTGGGGGGGGCCGCCTGCAAATGGGCGGCGAGGGGGCATGGAATTTTGCAGGCGGCCCCCTTGCCGCCCTGGGGGAGGGCGATTTTTGCCTCTCCCCCTATAAAGCCCAGTCCCTCCTCTGTGAAATTTCATTATATTCACTAAAAATCCAAAAAAAACAAAAGAGAGAGAGGGGAGGGCAGCAGAAGGGGAGCGGCGAAGCCCTACTGGTTCGCTCAATTCATCACAGGTATGCTCCCATACATCTTTTGCATTTGTACTAATATGTTATGTTTGAGTATATATGTTGCGTTTTAGTTTTAGTTCCATATATTTTAGCACATCTGTAGCACACAGCACATATGTGTAGATCCAAAGCATAGAATATAATAGTATGAATTGAGACATAGACAGTAGTGTTAATTGTAAGATGTAGTTTAGTTTGATCTGGAGAATGTAACGTAATTTTAGAAATTTAGAGAACAATATTGTAGAGAATGTAACTTAGGGCGTAGTACAGAAATGCGAGGTTAACGCAGTTATTGTTTTCATCAGGCACAATGTCAAGTAAGGTCACATTTCAGATAGTTCACGGTGAAGGAAATATTAGATTTGGTCCAGATGGTGTTGATCTGTCAGATTTTGTAATGACATCTAAGGGCATCGATAGGCCTGCGGAGAGAACATTTCAGTCAATTTATAGTTGGTTGTTGAGAGGATTTAGAATAGACCAAGAAGTCTACACAATGTCAGTGTCAGTTGTAGTGAGTCGTGCAACAGAAGGTTATTTTTGGGAACTAATGCCGATGGACAGCACTGATGCTTGGAGACGGTATGTGGAAATGGCTTTTGAACGGTCATGGCCCCTCGTTATATTTGTGTCGGTACAAGAGAAAGATATAAATGTTTCAATGCAAACCGAAGATGTAGAGGGTCCTATCAATGCAGGGGATGTTGTTGGACCATCGATGCAAAATGAGGAAAATCAACCAAGGGAGAAGCAGGCTATGGGCATGGCGGATGAGGGGGAGAGAGTCGGTATAATTGTTGATGAAATGGAGAGGGAAGATTCGGATAATGAGGAAGTGGACGACGACGCATCATCCGATGAGGAAGGTGATGTAATGGCCACTGATTGGGCAAATGAGGACTTCTCTGGACTTGTTATATCAGAGGGTGATCATGTACCCTGGGAGTATAAGGAGAACGAGGTAATTGAGGGTGCAAGATATGCTCATAAGGATGAGATGAAGGAGGCGGTGAAGCATTGGGCAGTTTCCTTGCAGAGAGAGTTTAGGGTGGTCAAGTCAACAAATTATGTGTATGAAGTGAGGTGCATGAAGGAAGATTGTCCGTGGCGTGTCCATGCATATAAGGGTAAATGGAATGATTATTGAAAAGTTAGCATTGTGTCCGAGCACAAGTGCTACTTACAAGGGGTGGAGAAGTATCACCGAAACATCACTTCAGCTTTTGTGGCAAGTGAGATGTACAGCAGTGTTGTTGGTAACATTGGCTTTGAACCAAAATCAATTATTAGGCACATCGAGAACAAATTCAAGTACACCATAAGCTATGCAAAGGCCTGGAGAGCCAAACAAAAGATCATTGAGATGAGGTATGGCACATTTGAAGCTTCTTATGATAATTTGCCTCGTTTGTTAGCCACCATTGCCCAGAGGAATAATAATACGTACTATGACCTACATACATTTACATCGGTTGATGATCGAACAAAGAGTGTGCTGCAAAGAGCCTTTTTCTCATTGGGTGCTTGCATCAATGCTTTTGTGCATTGTCGACCTGTTCTATGCATAGATGGAACTTTTATGACAGGTAAATACCGAGGTCAGATATTGACAGCAATTGGGTGTGATGGGAACAACCAGGTTCTACCTATGGCTTTTGCATTTGTAGAGAGTGAGAACACTGAAAGCTGGTACTGGTTCCTAGAGAGAGTGCACATTGCAGTGGTGCGTATGAGGCCCAACGTTTGCCTTATACATGATCGTCATGCGGGTATGTTGCGGGCTATTGACTACTTGCAGAACGGTTGGGATGAGAAGGGACTTCCAGCTAAGTGGCCTGATGTTCGGAGTCGGTGGTGCATGCGTCACATGGGTGCAAATTTCTACAAGCAATTCAAGAACAAGCATCTTATGGAGCTCTTTAAGAGGCTCTGTGCACAGAACCAAGAGAAGAAATTTAATGAGTTGTGGGACAAGTTGGATGAGTTGACAACGAAGCAAACAGATGAGCAATCTCGCAGACCACTAGTTGAAGGTGACGAGCCTCCCATACCTCTTGGTGCATTATATGATGACCCACCAACAATGAGAAGGAGGTCAGGGTCGTCCATCAGAAATTTCACTCAGTGGATTGAGAATGAGCCTAAGGAGAAGTGGTCTCTATTGTTCGACACCGATGGATCTCGGTATGGCATAATGACAACCAATTTGGCAGAGGTGTACAACTGGGTAATGCGAGGAGTTCGGGTACTTCCATTGGTTGCTATTGTTGAATTCATCCTTCACGGCACGCAAGCGTACTTTAGGGATCGATACAAGAAAATTGGTCCGTCCATGGCCGATGACAACATAGTGTTTGGCAACGTAGTGACAAAGTACATGGAAGATAAAATCAAAAAGGCACGGAGACATCGAGTTGTTGCTCAAGGCACACAAGTGCATCGGTATGAAATAATATGTGTTGATAGGAGCAGGCGTGGTATCTATCGCAAGCAAGCCGTGCAGGAATGTGTCTTGAAGGCGGATGGTGGATGTACCTGCAGTTGTATGAAGCCGAAGCTTCATCACCTTCCTTGCTCACACGTTCTTGCTGCTGCCGGTGATTGTGGCATATCTCCCAATGTGTACGTCTCAAATTATTTCAGGAAAGAAGCAATCTTTCATACATGGAGTGAGGAGATATATGGGTTCGGGATCTCAGGATCTTACACAACGCTGAGTGCCCAAGTTTTTTATATTCCAGATCCATCTAAGTTAAGGGTGAAAAAGGGTCGACGCCAAACTAGACGCATCAGAAATGATATGGATGAGTCAGAAGCAGGTGGGAGGACTTTACGCTGCAGCAAGTGTGATCTGCGCGGCCATACTTACAAGAAATGCCCGAAGAATGCAGAAGTTCCAAGCGGCGCAGATGCTAGTCCATCTGGACAGGCAAGTGATGGTAGGCGACCACCTGGTGAAGGAACAACAAGCAGGCGCGCAAGGCCAAGGCGTCGTCGCGCAGCAGGCGATTCCATGGTGTAACAATGCTTTCGATTTAGGAAATAAAATGCTGTTGTGATGTAATGAGTGTTCGGACTAAATACTTCTATCGTGTAATTTCAATTCAATGTTGTTGTAATGAGTACCTCCGACTATTGTTGTACTAGTAGTATTGCGAATTATTCGGTGTTGTATCATAATGTTATCGTGATGAGTGTTCGGACTAAACACTTTTGTTTGTTTGTACTCTTGTTTAATATGTGTTAGTAATTCGCTTAGTTCAACATTTATTACTTATGTTGAACTAATTATTTATATGTTTCTGATCAACCTATTTGATGCAGGTATGGCGTACGACACACCGGCGCTGTTGAACCGTGGGATTGACAGGAACCACCGCTCGTTCCTGTCAGCAGTCGAGGGTGCACAGCTCGGCACCTTCCGTCCACGCACGTCGCGCGAGTGGTTGCGTGTCGACCCCCGTCACGTTCCTTGGTACGCGTATGTTCACATTTCAACTCAACTTTGCTTTGTGTTGTACTTATGTTTGAAGTTTGCTCTATACAGGTTGCGTGCGGCAGGCCTTCTACCACTTTGTAGGCTTGTTGAGGCGGCGGCGGACGACCGTGACCCAGCGAAGCGGTGGGATGCAGATCGGTCACTCCTTGCCGCTCTTGTAGACCGCTGGAGACCTGAGACGCACACGTTCCACCTTCCCTGTGGGGAGATGGCTCCGACACTGCAGGACGTGTCGTACCTGCTCGGGCTACCGCTGGCGGGAGCAGCAGTTGGTCCCGTGGACGGTGTTTTTGGGTGGAAGGAGGATATCACTGCGCGCTTCGAGCAGGTGATGCGCCTTCCACACCTAGGACCGACCACCACCCTTCCTCCGTACTCTACAGTCGGGCCTAGCAAGGCTTGGTTGCTCCAGTTCACTGTAAGTAAATAAGTTGTTATTATCATACGTGCTTATTTGCGACCGAATGATTGTTTTGTACTAATATTTCATTCTTAATTGTAGGCGGACCTTCTGCACCCTGACGCTGATGATTACTCGGTCCGACGCTCCCTTGAGGCGTACCTGTTGTGGTTGTTCGGGTGGGTGATGTTCACTAGCACCCACGGGCACGCTGTGGACTTCCGGCTGGTCCACTACGCACGGTCCATCGCGGATGCTCAGCCACAGGACGTGCCGCAGTGGAGCTGGGGTTCTGCCGTGCTAGCAGCCACGTACCGTGCCCTCTGTGAGGCGTGCACGAAGACTGACGCGGGAGCGATCATCGCTGGCTGCCCTATGTTGCTTCAGCTTTGGGCAGCCGAGAGGTTTGCCATAGGTCGACCAGTGGTGGACAGCGCACCCTACGGGGTTGGTCGCAGCGCGCAGTGGCCAGAGGACGGTCCCACGATGGGGACTTACTGGTGTCGACGTGGGGTTAGTGCAACTTCGCTGCGTTATAAGTTTATCAGTCGTCTTTTTTTTTCTTCACATAACATGTCTAATTCCGATCATGTTTATTGCAGCGTCGTTACGCTCACGTCCAGGTGAGACGTGGTTACCCGGACTTCGTGTTCAAGTTTGACCGTCTCCAGCCGAGCGACGTCATCTGGGAGCCGTACACAGAAGAGGCCGTCGCTGCGAGAGCACCGCTAGGACTTTCGTCCTTGTGCACACGCGACCAGGCTTACTGGCTCACCGTCCTGCCGATGGTGTTCGACATTTTCGTTGAGCCTCACTGCCCGCAGCGTGTGATGAGACAGTTCGGACTTAGGCAGGTGTTTCCGGGCAACGTGCAGCCGACCGTCCTCCCTGCCGACCACTCGTGAGTTCGGATTGTTCATTTCTAAATTTTTATGATAATTACTTCATCGAGCCATATAATTTACCTCTCTTCACAGGTTGACTCGACGGGGACAGCTAGCAGGCGCACTTTGGGCTCCACGTGTACAGCAGTACGTTGACGACTGGGTGTTAGCTACAGAGGAGGTGATCAACGAGCTCTTCCCACACACGGAGGAGAACTACCGTGACTACCTTCGTTGGTACCTTCCTCGCACTCGTGCGCGTGTGACCTTCACTCCAGACGCCCCAGAGCCGCACGTTGCCGCTGTCACGGACGCGTATCCCACGCACCGTGACCGAGACTACTTCGTGGCGGTACATCCAATTTGTATTACTTCTTACACTTATTTCATTTATCTTGCATAATATAGGACAACTACTGAATTTGTTATTTCCATCTTGCATAGGCTGATGCCGCACGGGATATCAGTGCCGATATCACCGCAGTCCAAGTGAGGTTGAACAGAGGTTTGCACTTGACTGACGTTGAGCAGAGGGTGACCTTCGACCGGATGCAGGAGAAGATGCGTGCGGTCATGCGCGTCTTCTCCTGTCGCAGCGCCGTGGACGTCGTACCTCCAGCTGGTCCGGTACAACCACGGCCTCGCGCGCCTACCGTCGGAGCAGGACCTCGACCTACGGCACCTATTTCGCACGGTACTGCTCAGCCCAGAGGTTTCTTAAGTTTTGTTTCTGTTTTTGTACGAAAACATCACCCCGTCGTAACTTGATGATCCATCCTCGCAGGACCTCGTTTGCCTTCGAGCGCCCCTAGCTTCGGATCAGTGCGACCTACAGCACCGGTTTCGCACGGTACAGTTCAGCCCAGATATTAGTTCATTTTTGTTTCAGCTTTTGCACGATTATGTCACCATGTTTTAACTGCACGTTTCCTCATCGCAGGACCTCGTCTGCCTTCGAGCGCGTTCGCAGGCACGACCGGCGCTTCCACGAGCTCCGCAGGGGCGTTCGCCACCTCTTCGGGCGCGTTCGCCAGCTCTTCCTCTCACGGAGCGTCGATCCCTCGCCCACACGGTACTTTACTTTTTATTAATACTGTTAAATACCTGTACGAAACTGATGGTCCTTGTCCAGCAGGATTTGCAGCCGGGATCTTCGGTACTGGGGCCTCTTCGTCTCACGCCGGTAGGACTGGTCCTACTAGCCAGTTCTACGACGACGACTTGCACGGTGCAGACCACCACGACGTACTAGGCTCCTCTCAGCTTGGAGGAGCTCCAGAGGCGCACACTCAGGAGCAGCCAGAGGTCACACCTGTACAGGCAGGACGGGTTGGCCGTGCCGTACCCCCGGACCGACTCACGTACTCCCACGGGCACATTAGGGCGCAGGGTAGGAGGGACAGGGGTAAGAGGCCTCGTCAGTAGTGTTCTACCTCTTCAGTCCTTATGTGACCGTTTCTTTTGGCTTACAAACTTGTAAAGCAGTACTACTTTTGCTATTACTACTGCAGTACTACTTGTGTTTGTCTCGTCTACATAGTTCTTTTCATTCATATGGTGCTAGAACAACTTATGCTCACGACAACACACTTTCGGCGCTGCACGGTAGTGTCAGATCCAGTAGCGCGCACAATCCACAACAGCACACATGAAAAGCGGCAGCTCGAGTTATCACTATCAACTTTCGGCGCTGCCTGTTTACATAAAGTGAATCACGCCCACGCGTGATCGTCTTGTCACATCTAATGAATAATGTATCTCATTGAGTTCACATATATTCCAGTGAAAACGACGCTATATAATTGACAATCTGAAGGCAATCTCTTCATATCTTCTTTCCCACTAGCACACAACACACGAAAATGGAAGCCTATTCATTGGTAATACGTAATCTAGATTTGAGATTATGTAGAACATTCTTCACTACAATTTTACATTTTGGCAGCAAACCAAATATGATCAAATGCAATTTTACCTTACCAAATATTTGGTCGTGAAGAAAAATTTTAATCTTGTATAGTTTTCAATATAAAAAGATTTGATAACTATTGATATTTATACAAAAATATAGAGCACAGTACAAAATCGCCCTTGCGGAGGGCGGCAAGGGGGCCGCCTGCAAAATTCCATGCCCCCTCGCCGCCCATTTGCAGGCGGCCCCCCGCACAGTACAAAATCGCCCTCGCGGAGGGCGGCAAGGGGGCCGCCTGCAAAATTCCATGCCCCCCCTCGCCGCCCATTTGCAGGCGGCCCCCCGCACAGTACAAAATCGCCCTCGCGGAGGGCGGCAAGGGGGCCGCCTGCAAATTTCGTTGACGGCCGTCGCCCGAGAGCGAACGGCCGTCTGCCACGTCATTTTCGCCGCCCTCTGGGAGGGCGATTTTTAAAAATCGCCTTCCCAGAGGGCGGTAGGCGACTACTTCCGTCAATTTTCAAAATGGAAAATTATTTTTGTAAAACTTTTAATAAAAAAAATTCGTTGTTTCATCCAGCAAGCAACACGATTACACGACACGTCGACCCGTCCATGTAAAGGCACAATGTCACACAGCTATCGTGTCAGTGCAACAACGAAACGGCCCAGTCGGATTAAAGATGGCACTGGCGTTGCAGATCAATTCTACCTACCGGGAAAACAAAACTGTGGCGGTTGGTACAGGAAATTAATCGCTTCCCGTCAACCTGCTCCCTTCCATCCGTAGTGGCACCTGCTGCTGTTCTCGTTGTGCTGGGCCTGTCACGGCATACAGTACGTACGTCTCGTATTCGCAAACCTCTCCAACCGGCCTAATTTCCGGCAAAGGCAGGGCCACCCTCTCCAGCTGCAGTGACAGCCATCGTCTCCAGCTGCAGTTGATGGTAATGGTAGTCGATGGTCTGATTGACGCTGATGCTAGTGCGTATGGGTCTTGACGTCTGCTTTTCATCAAAGGAAAGTAATACTCGTCTGCTAGTAGTAGTAGGAATGATCAGCGTTCGTTGAACTCTGTCTCCTGAGTAATTAGTTTCCTAATTAAACTTTGGATATCGTCCTGTACAGGTCATTGTGCTTGATTAGTCTGCCTTAAATCAGGAATATAACAAAATTGACACCTAGTGTATGACAAATGCCATATATATACTATAATAAGCAGGGCAAATATTTGTCAGGCTTGTAATAAGATGGCACAAGCAACAACAGTTGCCAGGTTTGAGGTTCTCTGTAGTCCTGTACTACCTGTAGGAACATGAGAAACAGGGTAAACTACAACAACTATGCACGTAGTAGCATTGCATTTATATCGTGGATTTGCTGATTTCACCTAAACAGGGTTGCTGAAGGTGCTCTCATTTGGAAATACAATTCAAATGATTTTCCTTCCTCTCCTCTAACTATTCGCTTGATCATGCCTTCATCACGTAGGCTATACAAATGGTAATCTGTCCCAATCCAAAACACTAACGAAAAAGAAGAAGAAGAAGACGACGACCTGGTTATTTGCAAGGTCTTCGTACGAAATCAAAGTATAGGCCTCCACAAGATCACGGACAAACAAGATAGCGATCGATGTCTCATGCAAATGGATCGATTCCTTTGCGAAGATTCAACTCCTCTTAGGAAAATTGTTGAAAAAATTAGGCTAGAATTAGCAGACAGTAACAACAGCATCGGCAAGAGAAGCAATCTCATCAGAAAGCTCCTAACAAGTTTTCTTTTCCTTTCCTATAACCTGACCACCCAAGAACAGTTCCCCTCGGTCTCTTGGACAAATCCTTCCGCATTTTTGGCAGAAAATTAGTAGTAGCGAGTACACTCCTTGCACATGGTTGCAGGCTTGTATCGTGTTCCAACCCAAACTGAACTCCACCAAGATCCCACGGCTCTGAAGAAAACAACAGAACGGAATACAGATCAGATGAGAGAAATTTTGCAGGAACAAATGAATATCTTCGCTTCTTCTTGCAAGCTACTACTACTTCCAAGTAGAACAGTATATTGATAGACCAAAACTAGTGACCAGTTTGTGAGTTGCTGAATTCCTGTGGCTGTCCTTCAATATGCTGAAACTTCTAAAGATGAAACGCAAACAAACCGAAGAAAAGGCTAATGGAATAATTTGGTTCTTGGACAAAAATCCATTGCACAGAGGAAGGATGGGTCTCCACCGTGATCAGGCCCCAAACCAGCCATGGCCGTCACAGCAATCAAGAGAGCGCTTGCTTCGAGGTGATGATAAAATCATCCAAGGAAAAGGATAGGGGGAGAAGAAGTGATCCATACCAGCCATGGATCAACTCGGAGCACTTGGCCTTGATCCAGCGGAAACCCCTGCGGAGGGAGGACTTGACCTTCCCCTCCACCGAGTACGCCTTGTAGCTCGCCACCCGCCGCCGCCTCTTCATCTCCGGGTCGCTGAAGCACCAGGCGGATCCCATGCCTCCTCCCCCGCCCCCAACCTTGGTCACCGGCAGCGGCGGCGGAGGCGACCTCGTGGTGGTGGTGGTGGTGGTGCCCGGGGGCTTGACGACGACGTCGATGCGGCGGTCCCCGTACGGCACCACCTCGCGGCCGTGGTAGGGGCGGTCGTGGTCGGCGGGGGCCCCGTAGGCGCGGTACTCGTAGTCGGCGGCGGCGGCGGCCATCGTCGTCGCGCGCGGCTTCCGCTGCCGAGTTGCGCTTCGCTTCGTGTGGGGGAGGGGAGGTGGGAGAAATTCCCAGCGGCTGCCCTCTTAGAATTTTTTTTCGCCCTGCGGGTTTCCGAGTCGAAAATTTTTTAGATAATGGATTTATATTAGAAAAAAAAAGTACGTATTACCTATGAACAATCGCGGTCGTTCGAGTTACCTCCTCAACTCTAATACCAGTTATTTTTAACCCTAAACTTTACAAATCGGATGAATTACCCCCCTATGTCGATCCAGGGCAGTTTTGATCCTACGTGGATGCATACATGGCACTCTAGTCAGCAAAACAAATAAAAAAGATATGGGACCCGCTTGTCAGCCAAAAACAAATAAAACATGGTGGGACCCACCTCTCTCTTTCCCTTTTCCCTTCCTCTCAATCTCTCTCTCTCTCTCAGATGTCGCCGGGAGCGGCGACTAGGTAGCCGGCGATGGGCGAGGTGGGCGGTAGGCATGGCTGAGAGCGAGCGATGGGCGTGGCGGGGGCGGGCGTGGTAGGAGCGCGGCGTCGCGGCGGAGGGAGTCGCACTCGAGGCGGAGGGCGTCCTGGCGGGAGCGGAGGGCGGTGTCGGTGGCCGCGTCCATGACGGCGACGCACGAGATGGAGCTGCACAGGAGGGCCACGGCCGCCACTCATCCCTTTCCCCTCTCCTTCTCTTCCGATTCCCTCTCCTTTCCAGTGTAGCGACGGTGGTCGGGCTGAGAAGGCGGCGACGGCGGTCCGAGCGAAGAAGATGGCGGCGGCGGCGGCGGTGGTTCGGGTAGCTATATGTACATGAGGCAGGCAGGCAGGCAGCAAGTAAGGTGTTGATAAGAGAGAAGAAGAAGAGCATATCATGCAACTAGGAGTAGGTAGGACGGGCAGCCGGCTGCTCCTCGTCTTTGTAGTAGTTGCAGGTGATGAAGACGCCGCCGTTGAAGCACTCGGCGCGGGCGCAGCCGATCCTGGTGAAGTTGAGTCAAACCATGAAGACGAAGTGGCCGCACTTGTGGAAGTCGACGCCGGCGGTGCAGTTGCCGGTGTCCCTGTCGTACAAGTGCTCCTCGTACAAGTGCCGCTTGGGCAATCTTTGCCTCCGCCGCCGGACTCCCAGGCAACTGAGGCAAGCTCCGCCTCCGCCGCCGACCACGCGGGCGATCTCCGCCTCCACAGACGGAGTTCCGGACGAGCTTCGCCTCCGCCGTCGGTCGTCTGAGAGTGTGCCCCTCCTCCGCTGCCAGCCGTCCGAGCACGTGTGCGAGACAACGAGAAAGAGAGAGAGAGGGGGGGATTGGGTTGATGAAGGGTTATGACAGGTGGGCCCCAACGGTTACTTTTTTTCTGACTGGATTGCCACGTTGGCGCCACGTGTACAAGTTGAAATCAAAACCGGTCAAAACAGTGTGAGGGGGGGTTATATGTCTGGTATGAATGGTTTTGTGGTTTGGGGGGTAATTCATACTGTCGCAATTGTTCAGGGGGTAATTCGTACTTTTTCCTTTATATTAAACCCGGCCTATGTATGTACAGGGTGTACACAGCCAAAGAAGAGAGTAGGCTGGAGGGTGTACACAGCCAAAAATAAAAAAAGCACCATGCTCCGAGTCGAAAATAAAAATGGATTTATTTGTTCGTCTGTTTGCTAGATATAGACTACTCCATTCGAAAAAAAAAACTAGACTAGAATGTGACTCCTCGTAATAACATGAATCTAAATAATTTCTTTTCGATCCGTTCTATTTGTTAGGTTGAGTTTTTTTACTGAGGGAGTAGGCTGGAGGGGAGTAGTAATTTTTTATTTTTAAATTTTAAAAATAAAGTTTTGTAAGACTTATTTTTAGTATCTGAATTATTGGTCACGCAAAACGAGTTGGAGTGGCAAAAGTACACTCCCACGCTATTTGAATCGCGTGATAGCATTGTCCTGCTAGGTTGTTATGGTAGAATTAAACCGTCCCGCTCGTTAGAAGTGGCATGACAATATTATTTTAGCATGCTAGACGAGCTAGCATCCAAGGTTCAAATTTTATAAATATGTTTTAAAATGGTTTACTTTTAAAATAAAAAATAAAAAATGTTTTAAAAGTAAAAAAAAATCAGGAGTAGCACACGCGATGCTCGGTTTGTGGAAGGTTGTACGCGGATTCGCATCATGTGTCTTTGCCGGGTGGACTCCAGTCTTGCAGTGTACCATCATTTTTGTCATCCTTTTGTAATTGTCAACCTCCAAATGTTTAATACACGGGTTAATCGAGTTATCATGACAACTGATCTCCAAGGTTTGGTATTGACCGGTCTAGAGTAGAGACAGGACGCATGTAGATAAATAAAAAAGGGACTAGTTTCAGCCTTAGTTTAATTGGAGTATGTACAATCTTTTTTATCCTTAATTTTACGTCAATTTCACGAAGATAATTCAACTATCGTAGCGAATAAGTAAAATCTCATTTTTAAAGGGTCAAATTTGATGATTTATCACTCTGTAGATTGCTGCTTATCATCATATGACAATAACATATCGAATCGTTTGTATCAATAACGTGCGGGCCAGTTGGACAGATCATCAAATCCATCATCTTAATGATAATAATAAATCATCAAATTTCCTTTAAAGGGTGTTTTTATCATGACGCTGTCTATATGACAAACTGCTCATAAGTCCTAATTACCACAAACTAATAAATGTGGCCCTACAAATTTGTGTTTTTACCATATATTGCACACTACATATTTGTTCGATGCTCTAAATATCTCACAAAACCTAAAAATGTATATATGATTCACAGTAGCACTCAGCTTACACTTCTTAAGGCTGTGTTCAGAGGAGGGGATTGGGAACCCCTCCTTCCCTGCACGCAAAACAAAGTTCGTTTTATTGCATGATTAATTAAGTATTTACTATTTTTGTTTTGAAAAGTGGATTAATATGAATTTTTTAAACAACTTTATTATAGAAAGTTTTTGCATAAATCACACCGTTTAACAGTTTGAAAAACGTGCGCGTGAAAAACGAGAGAGGTGGGTTGAGAAAATGGGGAAGAACACAGCCTAGAAAAGGTCAGAATATTTATTCTTCCTCTTCAGCAAAGGTGAAAGATCAGGTTAGAAAGGTATGAGGTTGACTACTCAGTCTCCACCATGTTGCATGAATATCAGGGGAAAAAAGTTGAATAAATATCCCTTCCTATAAACAAAAATACTTTGTTAATAGTGATATCCTAGACATGAAAAAGTAGATAAAATATTCCTCTTTATAAAGCCTAAAAGAAGCCAACAAAGATACAAACAATCTCTAAGACAGTTACAAAAGGGGCACCTGTTTAAAGGGGTTGTCTTAGTAAAGGATAAATTGGTTAAAAGAAATTGGTATGGTAGTCTGAAATGTTGCTTCCGTATAAAAAATAAAACTATCCAACATTTATTTATGGAATGTCATTATGCAAAATTTGTTTGGAGAGCATTTTAATTTTCTTCTAGTTTAAATATTCCACATAGTATATCTCATATTTTTGAGAATTGGCTTCTGGGGATTGATAAAAAAAACCAGTAAACTTATTCTGGTAGGAGCTTCCGCTATATGTTGGGCTCTATGGTTGAGTAGAGATGATATGGTTTTTGATAAATCACTGTCTATATCTTATATGCAGGTTCTTTTCAGGGCAACACACTGGCTCTGGTCCTGGGCACAACTGCAAATATGTGATACAACTTTTTGCCAACTTCGGATGGAGATTCACAAATAGAATTCAATAATTTTGTAGTCTTTTCTTGTTTTTGTTTTTAGTACTTAGCGTGTGTTTCTGTCCTTTTAGGCCTGTATTTTTATGACTTTTTTGCCATGTGTTTTTGGTTTGTTTGAATTGGTGTAATAATTGGTTGTAACTCTTTGAACAAATGGATTCTATTCCATTATTTAAAAAAACAAAAGGGGCACAAAGTTCTCCATTCATCCTCATTAAACTATCATGAATATATCAACCAGATTTCTGGAATAAGATTTTCATTGATAATTTGCCGTGTAACCTTAAATCCATAATCCACTAATAAAGGGAGGTTATCATATTTTTTTAAAATACCTTTTATTCAAATACGTATCAAAGGTTTATAAAGCTAGCCGGACTTGTAAAAGACAAGTGGGTCTCTCTCTCTCTCTCTCTCTCTCTCTCTCTCTCTCTCCTTCGTAGGAAGGACTAAAAAGTAATTTTCTTCACACCAGCGGGCCGGGTGACTTGTAGAGGTCAACTACACAATTGGTACCACGAGTGCTGCAATAGGAGGCACAACTAGGAATTCCTTTTCTACTACGTATATTATTACCGAGCAAATTGAGCCAAAATATCCAGTCTAAAGCACGCCACGGTCACCGGGTAAAATGGCATCGTCGATCGTTGCGATTTTGTTATTTGTTTCACCTTTTCTTTTCTTACCCTTTTGCGGAGGATGTGATTTGCTTTACGGCGAAGAGCGAGGGTGTGAATGTGTGATTAGTGCTGGAAACAATCGCCGTCGCCTAGCCTCTATCAAGCAATCAATCAACTGAAAACTGCATCTTTTAAGGCTAATGACTGCATTAGATGCTAGTACTAGTATCAATTTAAGTACATCAAACAACCATTCTACGTCAATTAGCGCCGCCCGTCCTGCATCACTTGCTTTTGCACGCCACAATTAACATTGTCCTGCATTGCAAGCTGCAGCGATGCGGTCATATTGGTCCAGGAATACTTTTCTCGGCATATTTGTGAAGGAATCATCGTGTTTTCAGATGTATGGCATTTTCTTGGGCAATATATAAAAGTATTTTTTCCCTATTCTTTTCGCTCTTCTAGATGGGCCTTGTCTTTGACCAATTCTGTAGCTTTGCGTATGTCTGGCATACAGTGACGAATGACGTACAGCTGGCAACTATTCAGTTTTTCTTTTAAAGAAGCTACTACTGTTCAGTTGAGCGGCTAATCGACCAAATTTCAAGCCCTCCTTTTTCGCAGTAATACCTGAATGTCATGGCTGATCTTGTTTTTTTTTTCAACTTGAGCCAAAAACAGCTTTTATTAAGGTGGGTTAGAGTTTAAATCAACTGCAAAATGAAGAGAGGAGCATGGCAAGTTGCGTAGTGCAACTACACCTCCACATGTTCATCATAAGTTGATTGATGATAATTGATAAGCAGATACCGCCAGAACAAATGCAAGTTCCGCGGGTTCTCACTCTGACTGGGGCATAATCGGCGATCATTAGTTAGTCGTAATCCACTGACTGGAGTCATCGGTAAGCTCAATTAGGAGTTGATTTAATGGCGCTGCCGATCAAGGACAGAGGCATCTTCCTCCTGTCCCATGTGCAAACCTTGTGCCGGTGATCTGGCTTGGCCAGTTTGTATTCCTAGAATTCATCACACGTTGTTTGCATGTGTGCTCTCCGCTCTGTTATGCCCTATTCCCGTTCTCTTCTTCTACCTTCTTTGACGAGATCGGAAGATGCCTTCTTCTCCGTTCTCTTCTTCTACCTTCTGGCAGTTAAGCATGTATTTAGAACACAGCAATCGCATAAATTTCAGACAAGATCGGAAAAATACTTTGACGAATTCTCGGTCAAACTTAACTGCCAGAACTGAGAAAAATAGCGGGCCGCACTGCCAAAGTGCCAATCACCAAGAATCAACTCGAGGCATGGAAACAGTTGCCCATCCTGTGTGAAACTTTCACAGGAAAACGACTACTGCTACAGTACTAGTGTACTGCTACATGACGGGTCATACCAGCGTACTACTACCACAGTCCACAGCTCAGCCTCAGCAAGATGCTGCTATCCATCCAGGACAAAAGGCAGGCGCTGTAGCACACGTAGACCACGCCGGGTTTCAGGGTTGCACATGTGTAGAGTAGGTTTGACCCCCGGACTCGCCGTTTCACCATGAGCTACTCCTCCAGCACTGTAGCGCAGGACATTGTTCAAGCTTGGGGATTGAACGCGGACAGGCATCACAGGCCAGGAGAACAATCAAAACCTTAAACCAAGGCTTAATAGCGCGCATTGAAGAAACACACCTAATGCAAGAATAGCATTGAAAGGGCAACAACAGATCGGCGAAGCATCATGCAGGCCATGCATTATTTGGAATTGAAGCACTTGCCGTTGGGACCAGACAGTCCCTCCAGCTTGAGCTTTGGAGGAGGAAGGGGACCAATGGACCATTGGTCGCGCAGCCTGGGATGGTTGCCACAGCTTCCAGTTTCAGTTTCATCTCCTCTTGCTGCTGCTCCCATTATTTGGACCACAAAAAGGGGAAAAAAACATGCAGGTGCTAGAAGTATACGTATGTATGTACATCTATGCTGCACAAGTAGCATAAAAAACAACACGCAGAAGTAGAAACTGAAAGCAGCAAAGCAAGATCCCCTCAAAGTAAGCCCACAAACCAGTCTGCTTTACAGACTGATCATCAGCAGTCCAGGAATTACGCCAAAGACGGACGAAGATGAACATAGGAGTTACAATGTCAAATGTATGTGGTTATACATCTTGAAGTAAAATATGTCAATCTGGTAAAGAAAATATTGAGTTTTGAAGCTGCCGCCTAAGGCAACATAATCATCACTTTTTTATATAGATTATAAAGATGGTGAGCAATTAGAATCTTAATATCATTATAATTATATATGCGGTGGCAGCTTACATCTAGAATTATAACATTTTCTTTCCCAACTCTATCGAAATTAAAAGATATGAGCCAAGAGCAGCCTGCCGCAAAGGATAAAACCACCACCTTTAAGAGATGATCGAATACCACATCACAATAAAAAATCATACAAATGAGACAAATAGGGCAATTCAATTAGAAAAAAAAATATTCATGGGCGAAAGAGCGTGTCAACAGAATGAATGGCCTTCCTAAAACCTGATTTCCCCAATGGCACAATCTATACATTCTAAGCTATCCAAATTATCTTGGCCGTTGTGTGATCTTTTAGGTCGCCTTTACGACTGAACAAATGGCAGTAACAGCAGATATAAATGCCTAGTCTAAAACAGAAAAACTTTACAAAAGCATGCCGTTTATGTCATCGATCACATTGCTGACAGATAAGCAGCATGATGAACAGCTATTTTCAACAAGAATAATTGCCCGGAGAATGACAGCAATTGCTAGGAGGACATGAAGGGATGACAACCAGCGTCCCCTTGTCTCGATTTCCATAAGCCTCTCATCGATGGGCACATTTTACTCCCCTGAATATGTTTGTGGGTTTCTTCTGAAACAAGCAAGGACATGTTAGAGCCTATGAAACACCAGAAAAATAAAGTAAATTCCTAAACAGTGTGAACTATACTTTCACTTCGCTACATTGGCATGCGTAGCAAAATTCACCATTCTTTTTGTATAGTGAAGTATAAAGAAATGACTTAACTAGCAATTTACCTAGCAAGTACTTGTACTCTGCATACATATTTGCTTGACAAGTTGCTGTTGCTCTAGACACCTTCAGTTCCTTGGAAGTTGTTTCCATCTACAAAATTACTGTGAGCCTGAGTAAAAGAAAAACCATTGCTGCGGTTTGGAATGCCATCAAGCAGAGTTTGTGGACTGTTGGCTACTGGCGGAGCATGAAAGTTCATGTGGTTTGGTTCAACTCTTGGTACAGAACTACCATGCTCTGAGGCATTATGGCACAAGTCCGGTCTAATAGTCGGGCTTGGTCTAGATAGCAACATGAAAAAACGTTCATAAATTTGACGTCTTTCAGAAAGAGCTGCATGCCTTCCAAAGGAAGTCTCTGAAGTGTTGGCTTCTGACATAACATGGAAGTTCTGGCTTGGTTCACTTTGTGGTACAGACCCAGTGTTGTGTAAAGTGTCAGATTCTAATGGTGCGCAAAAGTTCATGTGGTCTGGTTCAGTGCTTGGTACAAAACCACTCTGATGCACACCATTATGATGCATAACTGGCCCAAGTGTTGTCCTTGGTCTAGAAAGCAAACTGCGTATCCAGTCATGCATTTGACGTCTTCTAAAATTCGTTGCGTTTGTCTGCCTTCCAGATGGAGTTGATGCTCCTGCAGTAGAAGCTTGAGACTCAACAGAATGATTTCCCCTAGGAATCTCTCTTGGAGATACATTTAGATCAATCCCCTGCCTTTCAAAAGTGCCAATTGGTGAAATTGCACCAAACATCCCAGAATTGCCATTCACATGATTATGGTATGAATGTGCTTCGCCATCGAGTCTACAACCTCCACAGTACCAATTTCCTTCAGGTACTTCTCTTCCCAAACCAACACAGTAAGTATGTGCTGAGGAGTCACAAATATCGCATAGTAACATGAGACTGTCATCACCACCTTGATTGCACTCTATGCACACAACATTCTCGTATGGATCTAGCCAACGTCTTATTTCCTCTTCCGTAGGCTGATAAACCTGTGCAAAAATCAAGAGACAGCATATGATGTCCAAGAACATAATCAAACCAGGGAATTAATGTGGTTTACATTGAACACTCCAACAACGCCAACTGTGCAGGATGTTACATGTTCAGATGTTCCAAGATTATAATATTATTGCACTGTACATAACAAACTCTTATATAAAACACTAGATCTCTGGCATTTTAGAAATCAACAAACAAAAATAAACCAAACATGAAGTTTGCCCTTTCCCTCCATTTTTGGAACAAAAGAAGGCGTTGTCAAGAGCCTCCCCATCATCTGGCCACAAGTTGGACCTCAGATATCCTATGCCATCTCATCCATCAAATAGCTTTCTATACTTGATCGTAAGAGCAATAAAGATTTGTCTTTATATTGACAGCATAGTATGATGATGGAAAATCTCCACCAGATTAGCAAGAATAACTTTTCTCTGCAAAGACCATTAAGACGGGGAAGGCTTTGCAAACTGTATATAGCTGAAGTACCAGGAAAGCTAATGCAAAAAATAACATTGCCTATGATTTGTAAATGGTAAATGAAAAATAGTTCCGAAAATTAGTTCTCCAAATAACATTTGTCCCCTAAGGCAACTAGTTCTAACATGGAAATGAACAAACGCAGTAACAGTGAGAAGTCACATAAAAATAATGAAAGGATAAGAGTATTTATAAGAATAAATGAAACGTGTACAGCAGAATGACAGTAAACATATTCATGAATATTATTTTGAATAGACTGCCCATATAAATCAGAAATGAAGTTAACAAATTTAGCTGTCGGATTTGATATTATATGACAACCGCAGCAAGGAAAGGTTACCTGATCACGTTCTTCAACCCTAATTACAGAATTTGTCAGTTCCAAACCAGTATCCTCCTTTGACGACTTTGTGATTGTTGTGAACCGCCGTTTACACAACGGACACCTTGACTCAACCTTAGACCATTGCATGATGCATGCAAAGCAAAAATAGTGTGAACAGCAATCCAGCACACCCTGCACAGTCACTCTCTGTTCTTCAGAAAGGCAAATCCCGCACGTTGCCCTTCCAGCCTCCTGTGGTTCCTTTTTCTCCTTCCCCTTGTGCTCCCCATTACCTGTAACAGAAATCTTCCTGGGTGATGAAGGCAGCACTTTCAGAGACTCTGGAGGCTCAGACTCCTTCAAATTCCCCAATTCCTTATCTGATACAACGAATTCAGAATCTGAGGATGAATCTGACACAAATACCCTTTTCTTCCTCCCCTTCTTAATAACCCTAGTAGGCTCAGCAATGGCTGCTTCCTCATCGGATGTTACAAATTCGAAGTCTGTCGTGTCTGAATCAATAGTAGGCCATATCTCAGCCTCAAAAACTGGTGTCGGAGGATCAACCTCCATCTGCTTCCTAATTCTAGCCTTTTTCCTTGGTTGCCAATCAGCCATAACCTCGTCCTCCACAATGAAGTCGTCATCCTCATAACGATCAAGCATTGAACGTTTTTTCTGCCTCCGTCTTATAGACGCAGCGTTCCTTGCCTTGACTGAACCCACCTTCCGACTGGCCACCTTAGAGCTGCTCTTCATCTTCCCTCGTCGCTGATTCAAAGTAGACTTTCGCCGCCCCATATTCTTAACCCTCACCTTAGTCGCTTCCAATTCATCATCTTCCTCATCCTCAAAATCTTCTTCCTCCTCGTCCTCCACTTCAGGATCGAAATCAACATCCTCCTCCTCTTCCTCCTCATCCATGTCAGGGTCAAAGTCCATGTCCTCCTCATACCTCCGGCGATTTGATCGCTCCAGAGGAAGCTTCCCCTCCACGTTGCGGCCACCACGTTTCTTCATGCGCTTGGATCGTGGCGCCTCATCGTCCTCCTCTTCCTCCTCCTCAAGATCCTCTTCCTCCTCCTCAAGATCCTCGCCGTACTCGTCGACCCGATCGTCTTCTTCTTCCGAGTAGTCATCGTCATCCTCGTACTTACGTCGACGAGATCGCGCAACGGGTGGGTCTGCCTTCCCCTTCCGCCCATTCTCGCGGCTCTTGACAGGCTGCCTCGGCCGCGGGGTCTCATCCTCCTCTTCGTCCTCATCACCCTCTTCGTATTCCTCGTCTGTGCCCTCTCCTCCCTCGCCGGCGCTCGAGGCAGACAGATCCTCGTCGCACTCTTCCTCCTCATCCTCCTCCACCACATACTCCTCGTCGTCGTCGTCGCCTCCGTCCTCGCCCGGCCTCCTCCGCCGCCGCCCGCCGCTCTCCCCCACGGGAACCGCCCCTTCCCCTCCCTTCCCCATCCCTACACACCAAGAGGAAGAAAAAAAACAACGAATCAGAACCAGATCGCCGGATCCCTCCGCCCAAATCACACGCCGAAACAAGCACACACCCACCTCTCCGATCGCACCAGCCGCGCGAGAAAACCAGCACCGCCCAGCGACGGCCTCGCACCACCACCACCACCACCACCCACTAATCCAATACCAGCTCCAGAGCTTATCTGGTGGTTTCCCTTTCCAGCGCCTAGTGGTTACCCCGTGGGTTTGAATCGGTTTAATATATACGACCACGCGCAGGTCAGAGAAGGCGGCGGCGAGGAGCTCGGCTCGAAAACGGAAAGGGGGGCGAGCGTGCGCGCGCCGGGACGGGGACGGGGGAACGCGGAGGCTACGAGGGGACGGAGGGGGGAAGCATCGGATCGGAGTACGGCGAGGTGCGGGCGCTTTATCCTCGCTTGCAACCTCTCTCTCCTCGCACGGGACGCGTTGGTAGGGGTGGCTGGCTGGCTTGGCCGGGCTGGTGGCTTCCTCCTGGCTCCGGCTCCCTAGCTACTAGTGGTTGGTTGGCCCGTTGCTGGAGTTGGACTAGTCGCCCCCGCCCCGCTCGCCGCGGTATCGATGGCGAACGTACACACGCTGCAGCCCGGTTTTCTCACGTGCTGCTATGCCTGTGCAGCTGTGCGGATGATTGGTGTTTCGGGCGGGGCGTGTTTTTCCATCGGTTTTTTGGTGGGTTTCGGCCGTGTGCCCGCGCGCGCGCTGGGTGCGCCAGCGGTGGGGGGCAGTGTCGTGCCGTGCCGTGCCGGTGGTGGTGGAGACTGACGTGTACGTGACTCGTCGGGGAGCCGGAAAAGGAGACGCGCGGATTGCTTCGTTTCGGAGCGCATCGGCCGGCCCTCGTTTTTTCTCCCTTCCCTTGCTGGAATCTGACGGCATCGCCTTGTGCCCGACCCGAGTACTCGCAGAGTTGCAGTAGCTTTACCTGCTCCATGGACAGGGCAGGACTCGAGCCTGCAGGCTGCAGCACTAGTAGGAATCAGATGATTGGTCGCCTTGGCAGGTATTGCTATTAAAACAGAAATCTGTTTTCATGTCGTGGTCTGGGTGCAAAAGATTAATGAGAGTTTCTTCCATCTAGGTTAGAGACAACTATGGCATTTCGTGATTTCAGTGAAGGGGCACACCAAGGGGAATCACAGCAGCTATGATTTGCCAAAATCATGCCGTCTCAAACTGTCAAACAGCGCCCAAAAGGCAATTCATCACGACCCAGAATAATTTCTTTCCTACCAGTCAAATTATAAGCAGGCATTAGAAATCGAGTTTTTTCAGCAGGCATTGAACAAATCAAATTCGACAGAAATAGAAGTAACTTGCTGCATCGAATCATAGGATACATTTTTATGTCAACTGCTAATAGGTTAATAATACCATCCTGCTGTTTCAATCCTAATATTAATAGCTATATTGTGGCTTCTTCTCTTTTCTTTGAGCAATTGAAGAAATGATTAAATGAATTTAAATTACAGCACCTACTCAGCCTGTCAGCCGTTGCTGAATGCCAGAACAGCGAGTAATTAAACTGACATTACTACAATCAAAGTAACCAGAGTTGTGTTGCCATATATGCAATTTTCTTAGCTCGACAATCAATTCTTCATATGCAGCCTCTTAATCCAAAACGTGGCTGAAATACCAATCTAAGATGCTTAACGATTGCTCAGACATTTGAGTGTCAATGGTGCTTAACAGACACAAATATGTTAGTGCAGACCAGTGATCTCTGCCCTCTGGAGATTTCAACTGCTTACCTCAGTAGAGTGCCGGAGCCCTCCATCATCACCGGTTCAATAGAAGAGTGAATTTTAAGTGATCTTCAGTGCTCACAGAAAGTACAGTAGAACTTTATACACCAGGGGGCCAATACTGTTGGAAGGAACATAAGAAGCAACTACCTGACCGCCTGTAAGCTCTGCAGGGCAACTCTTGGTAGAATTTGGAAGTAATGAACTAAACAAAGAAGGTTTTCATAAAAAGGAAAATCCGAAATGGCTCATTCAAATTGTTGTGGACTACATACTGGAAAAAAAAAACAGCAAGTACAAGCACAACACAATACCAGACAATCGGTGCCCTTATTATAGTATATTCCACATAAGAGTTGCAACACTCTCACCAATCCTGATGTGTTCACTATGTAACTCAGGGAATCTATGAATACATGCCAATTAGATAGTTTGGTACGTTTTATACTAGTAAAAGATGCAGGTGGTTACCAACTATGCATAGTTGCATGTTGAGTTAAACTAATTTAGTAGTAGGTAGCAATCAAGCATAATAGCAAATGTATCAAATCCATGTTAGGCAAAGTTTCTAGATCAAGTTAACAATTCCATGTACTATTGATTTATGATTCTGCAAAACAAAGAATCACAGACTGAGGGACTGGATACTAGAACTGTATTGAACTATAATCAGGCTTGGATTTCATCTTATTGTCAAGTTCATTCATGGTTTCAGCTTGTATTCATCCACTTCACATAATTATGCTACAGAGTTCAGTTCCATGGTGTATCAGGCTTTAATCATGCTGTTCATAGTTTTTGTTTATGCTGTTCAACTCGGCAAGTTTTCCTTGGTCTCTTTGATATGAACAGAGAGGAGAAAAAAGGATAAAACGGTGACGATTTAAATATCCAATATTTTGAAGTATCTTTCTACTAACATGTACATTGTGCATGCAGGCCATATTATAGTGAGTTGCTGACCAATCACTAAATTGATATACGAAAATATAGTGCTGCAAAGTGCAAAGTAATTTTCATTGGCATGGCTATGTATACAAGACATTGAGAAGAAGTCACCGCCAGAGTGTCTTTAGCTTTTCTCTTTTTTAATTCTAACTACAAATTGTACCTTTTACATAAACCTAAACCTATAGTTGAAAGAACACAAACTCTTTATTACATAAAGGAGAAAGGTATATGGAAACATATTAATCGGTTTTCGGTTTTGATGAGAACCATTACCCTTTTTAAGGAGAAGCACAAATAAAACATTGAATAACAACCATGGTGATAAAGCCACGCTTTTGATTTATACCCCCCAACATCCATAATCCAGGGACAACTTTTGTTTATTGTTTTAATTTTGCTCCAGTTTGAGCTTTATTATTTCATCTCATCGTGTTTTACAACATATATATATACCTTTGGGCTTCAGCACGAATTCCAATTCTTGTGAGCGCTGATCAACGCGGACAGTAAGCCGGCGGACGCCATGAGCGTCGAGCTGCCGAGCAAACCCTTCCCGTCGGTCACGTCCCCTAGCGCCATCACGGCGTCCGCAACGTCCTGCACAACGGACATCCGCTTGAGCAGCAGCTTCACCCGTAGCGTCCTCACCACATCGCTCTCCTCCCTGCAACCTTCCTTCAGCCGCATCTTGACGGAAGACTCCAGTTTGCCGATCTCTTCCAGCTTAATCGTGATGGAACCAACGTATCCCAGCAGCTCGGCCCAGGCGCTGAGTCGCTGGAGGCGTGGGAGGAGGTGCGCGGGCAGGAGGCCGGCCTTGGCCAGCCACACGAACTGTTCGAGGAAGTAGTAGACGCCCTCCCCGCCGTAGGCGAGGAGCGCGACGGCCGGGGGCGGATGGGGATGGGCGCGGAGGGCGTTGACGTTCTGGACGAACTTGCCGAGGCGGAAGGCCTTGCGGCTGAGGCCGACGCTGGACTCGAACGACTTGAGGCGGGCGGAGGCGGCGGGGGGCAGCGGGCCCGCGGCGAGGGCGAGGCGGGCGGCGTAGCGGGAGATCTTGAGGAGCTTGTCGACGCCGTCGCGGCGGGAGAGGTAGGCCTCGACGTGGACGAGGAAGTCGCGGGGCGGCGGGTGAGCGGCTGGCTTGCGGGAATCGGAGGAGCCCGCGGCGGCGGCGGCGGCGGCCATGGCGGCCGGTTGCTGCGTGGAAGAGAGAGGCGGAGCGGCGGCGCCGTCGTTGGGTGCGCGCGAGTTGGGCGGTGGTTGCGTGTGCGGTGCGGGCTGGTCGTGGTAGGGGAGTGGGCGTTTCGTACGGGTTTGGAACTTGGACTTGACGAAGGGTGACGTGTCATTGGGCCGAACCGCAATATGGGTCCCATGCGTCAGCCTAGCAAATGGGCCTTAAACTCTTACATTGGACCTTCTTGGGCCGCTTTATCATCTTTCTGGACCTTTGCTTTTAAGCCCAGTGTTTCCTGACCCACTTTGTTGGGATTTTCTTGTTATGTATACATAGAATTCTGTCACAACAAAATCATCTGTGATTTTTTCTAGAAACACAGTACAAATATAGACGCTCACAACGCACCTACCATTTGTGATTTTGGATGCATAGTAAATATCACATGAAATTAAGTAGCCTATCATATCGATAAATCATGTTTATTTATACTGGCACTGACCGGAAAGCCTGGCTTCGGAATTCAGACTTCAGAGGATGTGGAGGCCACTCTTTTCTTTGAAGAATGCATGATGGCATCGCCCATTGATTCTTACTGCGTTAATATCTCCTTGGATTAGTAGCATGATCGTGTTTAATTTCGCATTAGCTTGGGATAGCATACATTGTTTGATCACAAGCCGTGCCAATTAATGAAGTAATCTAAAAAATCAGGGGATACTAGTACATCTAAGAACACTTTCCGTTGCATTTTCATTTTCCCTCTGCTTTAATTTTTGAGACATACTCCTATATACTTGGTAAGCAGCTCCACGATTATTTACTTTTGGTTGCTTATCTAACGAAAGATGCTTTTGAAGTTAGTATTACAGCAGCCTTACAGTGTAAACAGTTTATATATCTTAAAAAAGTTTATACAGGCTATAGTTCCAGAAAGAAATAAAAAATTATGAGGAAACATATTAATCGGCTTTGTTGATATACACTTGTTAATAAGGAGAAGCATGAGCAAAAAATTGAATGATCACCATGGCGGAGAAAGCCCAGTTTTTGTATCCGCTCAAATGCACCAGCACCACCTTTTGATTAATTTATACCCCGACATCCAGAGTCCAGGAGTAATTTGATTTACTAATTCAAACTCTCACCACTTTAAGATTTAATTATTGTTCAATTACATCATGTTTTATAACATGTACCTTTGGTGGGCTTTCAGTTCAGCACGAATTCCAGTTCTTGTGAACGCTGATCAGCGCGGACAGCAAGCCGGCGGACGCCATTAGCGTCGAGCTGCCGAGCAAACCCTTCCGGCCGGTCACGTCCCCTACCGTCATCGCGGAATCCACCATGTCCTGCACAAGGGACATCAGCTTGAGCAGCAGCTTCCGGCTCAGCGTTCTCACCACCTCGCTCTCCTCTCCGCAACCTTCCTCGAGCCGCGCCTCGACGCCACACTCCAGCTCTGCCACCTCCTCCAGCTTGATCGCGATGGAGCCGACGTGCGCCAGCAGCTGCGCCCAGACGCCGATGCGATGGAGGCGGCGGGGGAGGAGGCGCGCGGGCAGGAGGCCGGCCTTGGCCAGCCACGCGAACTGCTCGAGGAAGTTGTAGACGCCCTGGCCGCCGTACGCGAGGAGGACGAGGAGCGGGTGCACGTGGGGGTGGGGGTGGTAGGCGGCGGCGCGGAGGGCGTTGATGGACTGGACGAACTTGCCGAGGCGGAAGGCCTTGCGGCTGAGGCCGACGCTGGACTCGAAGGACCTGAGGCGGGCGGTGGCGGCGTGGGGCAGCGGCGGCTGCCCGGCGGCGAGGGCGAGGGCGAGGCGGGCGGCGTAGAGGGAGACCTTGAGGAGGTTGTCGACGCCGTCGCGGCGGGAGAGGTAGGCCTCGATGTGGACGAGGATGTCGCGGCATGGCAGCCGCGGGCGGGAGGCTGGCTTGCGGGCTGAGGAGGAGGAGGGGGAGCCTGCGGCGGTGACCATGGCGCTGGCGCGCGCGCGAATGTGTTATGTGCGGTTGTTTCCGTGTGCGACGCTGGCTATAGCGTGGTAGAGGAATGGGCGTTTCGCTGGGAAACCCGGCGATCACTTTGAGTCGTCGTCTCGTCGCAGCCTGTGTGCCGCGGAGTTCGTGAGCGTTTTGTGTTTTTGTACGACACAAAGCTTAGACTTGACAATGTACTAACCCTGAGTTGATGTATCGCTATCTTTGTTCGTTTTCCCCTCTTTCTCATCTTCTGTTCTGCTCTGTCGGTAATGCCACCTCGACCACCGACAATGGTGTCAGACTGCTGCCATTGCTGTGGGTCGCAACTCGCAACCATGTGGATGGCCCACAATCCCACATGCCTCCTCCCAGTATGAAAAAAAGTACACCGAAGATCCTCAACTTGTAATTGAGTTACGTAATCGTCCTCAACCATAATACCAGATATAGAATATCTCTTAACTTATAAAACCATCTGACGGTTGAGTCAGCGTGGGACCCATGACGCGACGATTGAGTCAGCGTGCGACCATATGAGCCCTACATGTCAGGGTTTCCATGTCACACCCCTTGCTCTTCCTCTTCTTCTCTCCCTTCCTCCTCTCTCTCATCTCTTTGCGCAGGCTAGTCAGTGTGGGGAGGAGGCCGACGAGAGAGGAGGGTGTCGGCAGCCGGCGGCCGGCGGCGGTGACAGCGGTGACGACGTCGTTCGCGGCCAGCCACGGCGGCGCCGCCTTCGCCTGCGCCGAGACGGTGAGCAGCAGGAGGTCGATGAAGACGACCCGAGGAGGCGGGTGAGCACGCGGCAGCCGATGGAGGGGAGTGGAGCGGCAGCGGGCGAGCGCGCGACCAGTGGAGCAGAGCGGCGGCGAGCGAGCGGGCAGTGGAGTGGAGCGGAGCGGCGGCGGCATCCGCAGCTCGACGAAGTACCATGGCAGCGTCTAGAACACGAGACAGCACGGCGCGATATAGTAGAGCGAGGTGATGGGGGTTCAGCGACTTGCCATTGGAGGTGACCAGTATCTGGATGAGCACGAGCCACGTGGCCTCGGCGGCGACGGCGGTGAGCTGTAGCATGACGCCGAACGCGTCGAACCGCGCCTCGCCGTAGGCGGCGACGGCGACGGCGACGCCCGCGGAGATGCCGAGCATGTTGAGCATGGAGGCGCGGCGGAAGGAGTCGGTGTGGAAGGAGACGATGAGGGAGTAGACGGCGACGGGCATGAATGCCTTGAGCATCTAGATGAAGGAGACAGAGAGGTATATGTATGCAGAGTTGGAGAACCAGAGCGGCAGCGGCAGGCTAGTGAGCGGCCGCGAGCGCGCAGCGGGCGAGCGCTACAGTGGGCGGGCGGGCAGGCGGCGGAGCAGAGCGGCGGCGGCAGGCGAGCACTCGGGCGGTGGAGCGGAGCGGAGTAGCGGCGGCATCCGCGGCGGCGCCGGCGCAGCTGGAGGAGGAAGAGGAGGTAAGGAAGACCGCATCGGTGAGCTCTACAGCCTTGTCCAGCCCGACGGCTCGGCCCGCCGTCACCGCCCCCGCTCCGCTCTCTCGACCACGGCAATGGCGCCGCACGGCACGCGGAGGAGGAGGAGGGAAGGCAGACGACCGCCGCAGTCGTCCCTCGCCAGCCGCCGGCCACGACAGGCCTCCTGACCTCCTCCCCGCTGCGTCGATGAAGCTGTCGCCATCCACAACGCCCAGGGGAAAAAGGAGAGAGGAAGGGAGACGAGGGGAAAGAGAGAGTGTGCGCTGATGCGGCATCCTGACATATGGATGCTGACTCAGCTGTTACATAGGATAAAACCGGGTTAAAATCATCGAAGTACCTATTTTAACCTATTTTGATTAGTTAAGAGACGCCGGATATTTGTTCTTGGTTGGGGGACGATTTTGTGACTGGATGACAAGTTGAGGGACCTTCGTTGTACTTTTTCCTCCCAGTATTGCTATCTGGGCCAAGTTCTCTCGGTCCTGAGAAGGCCGTGAATTGGGCCACTGCGTGAGTAGAATTTATCTCTCCGGTTATGCGTGAGTAGAATTTTGCCACGATAAAACCATTTGGATTAGCACGCGTGATTCTCTAGAAATCATATTGCAAGGAAGCAGACTATCATATCGAGACGACCCGGCGAGAACGAGACCCCGAGAAATCATGGCCATATACTTACTGATTGGAAACCCCGAGTGAGCTGGAAGCCATTCTCTCAATCCTGTGCAATGATGGCATCGCCCACTGATTCTTACATTAAGATCCCCTTAGATTAGGTAGCCTGGTCATGTTTAATTTTGCATTAGCTTATCGTAGCGCTGTTTGATCATAACCCGTGCCAATCAGTGAAGTAATCTATACATCCAAGAACACTTTCCATTGCATTTTCATTTCGTTTCCCCTGCCTTTTGAGATACATATACTCAGCAAGCTGCTCCCGCAATGATTTCCTTTGGTTGCTTATCTTATCTAATGAAAGATGCTCTCGGGTCTCGAAGTTAATATTACAACATTGCTGCATGATCAATAGTTTATCTTGAAATGTTCATACAAGAATTGAAAAATTTAGAAAAAAAATCTCTAAAATAAATTGGAAAGGAGAAACTTTAGCAGTCAATCATTTGAGCTTTCTGAATATACGAACCGAGCTAGTAGATTTTAGTCTCTGAAAACATCACATGCAAGCACAGGCCATGATTCCCCCAGCAGAATACGCAAGGGATCCAAATTCCAACATAGCTCTCCACGATGAGCAAAGCTTCAAATGTACAGGCAGGATCGCAGTGTCGGCAGTGCATAGGCATTTTGATAGTTTCATGTTGTATGTTCAGGGGAAAAAAAAGAACATGACACGTAAGTGCAACTCCTACTTAGCCGCTGCAATTTCCCTAAATTAGTAGTCGTAACATCTTTCTCGGTGCCAACACATCGTTGAGTCTTTGGAGGCAGCTTTCGCCGTGAAATGAGTTGTCAAGAGGCTATGTGTGCATTTGGATAATCGCATTGCCAAGCTGCCTGCCACCAATCGCCCTCCTCCTCTCCTTTACGGTGCTGAGACAATGATGCACCCCAAAGCTCTTCAAGGCCTACCTGGCCATCTTGATTGCTGCACAGAGATGTTTCCAATGGCTCAAGCAGACCGGGCAGAGAGAGTTGTACAGTCCTTGCTCATCAGGGTAGAGGGGGAAAAGGCAATGGAAGGATATTGGCATATGTTTCTTTTGAGTGTTGCTTGAGCCCTATGTCATGTGCATCTCAGAGCCAGCCAGCTCCACACCCAGCGAAAAGGAGCCACCTTTGGACCATCTTCTTTTCCCTTTCCATTTTACTCCACTTTTTATATCCATTTTTCAGAAGAAAATTGGAACTGTCGGTAAGTTCTGTTAACTACCCACTTCATAGCAGTTAAAATTCCCTGCAAATTAATCACCCAAAACGAAACAAAATTGGGGCAGAAATTGAGAAACTGTCACTGAAATGTACTTCAGTTTTGTAGGCTTGGGCTGAAGAGAAGAACGCACCGATAGGCGCAGGACCATATGTTTTGTTCCTATTTGCTCTCCAAGTTGGCGTACGGGGAAAAGACGAGAGCAATCACAAAATGGCAGGATTCCTAAAGTGGTTAGCGAGTGCATGATTCAGTAGAAAATTTCTAATCTGGACTGTTGCTAAGTAAGCATGGACCATTATTCAATCCAGTGAAAGCAAGGACGATGATTGCGTTTAACTTGAGTACAGGCAGGCAGGCCATTTTCATGGCCGCCGGGGCAGACGCTTTTCCCCCCATGATTTTCCCTCTGCCCGACACTGCATTGCAAGTAGCTGCTTAAAGTGGACTAGGCTTTGGACGCTTCCAGTGAGGCATTGATCCTCTCTGTTTCTTGTGTTACCCATGGAAGAAGAACCAGCATTTTCCATTTTGACCTGGCTTGCCATAGGTTGTAGACAGATATAGCTGAAGATTCTGAACCCACATTTCATCAGAGCTCAGAATACCGTGTTGTCAGGCATAAAGCAGATTGTTCTTATGCTGGTTCCTTTTCTGCCATATCTGTACCAGATGAAGCTAGCTGCAGTCTGCAGATGTAAGCAGATCGTTCTTAGTCGTTCTTAGGTTGCACATATAGCTTGTTCCTTTTGTGCTCGTATCTCTCTTTGCCAGATGAAGCTAGCTGCAGATGTAAGTAACACATAACAGGTAGAGTAGCTGTTGTTGATGGCAAGCAAGGATTCAAGATGGATCATGCCATGATCACAGGGAACTACCGATCACCTCTACGACCTAACAACAACCTTACCAATAATTTTCTTTCTGGAGCGAGATCTCTTCCTCGTCAAGCTTTGATCCATCGACACTGAATAAAAAGGCTTTGGCGTTAGAACGGTGGATTTGGAGCTAAGGGAATTCCTCGCTTTAGCTGTAAGGCCGGTGGTTGTTGCTGCTTACTTTGTGCTACACAACGCTCAGCACTACTGAGCTTTTCTTCAGTTTAGTGCAAGAGACGTGTCTCGTACCCGTGGAATTATTATTAAGCTAAGTAATGTGTTAGCTTCTGGATAATCCAGGGTCAATTTAATTTGGCAATCAAAACAGTCCTAGAGTAGTAGAGTGCAGAGTATTTGTTGCTGTCAGATAGAAGACTTACTCTTAATGGGTAGTACTAACCACAGTACTATAATTAACCTGTCCTATTGCTTACCCCTGAATGTTGCAACAACGCATTATATTACAGTGCAAGCTAAGTGATTGGACAGAGAGTATATCAATCATCCGGAAACGGTGGCGAAATAATTCCTGCAAAATTCTTCAAATAGTTTGTTAAACTGTTGACGAAAAATGCTTTTATTATTTTCCAAAAATGAGGAAGCATTTTAGATTTTGTCGTGACCACGGGATACAAAATGGATTTGGTAAAGTACAAGCTTGCGAAATTAATTGATATATTATCTTCTGTGTCCTACGTACATTAGCAGATTTGTTCATAGCGTGACAGCAACCCAGGCGGGACGTGGTGACGCACGGTCCATATGACA